AGCGAATCAAGGACACTCTCAAAAAAGAACTTTGGAATTGATTGTGTAACATGGGCAACACTGACACAGGACCACTCAGCATGGCATGCCCTCATCAAAGAAGGTGCTGTGCTCTATGAGCAAAGCAGAATTGAGGTATCTCAAGAGAAACACAAGATGCACAAACTTAGAGAATCCACCCCAAAGGTTCACACAGACTATTTGTGCCCGACCTGTGGCAGAGCATTTGGAGCTCATATTGGTCTGAACAGCCACAGTTGGACACACTAAAACTTGACTCCAGCATAGTGATGTCATTTTGGTACTCTTCAAAAACAAAAGACAACAACAACAACAAGGTGTGATGTGATCAGGGCTCGCACCAGTGTAGTGGCAGTATCAGAGGAGAGAGGAAGCATATTTGAGAAATATACAAAGGTAGTATTGATAGGTCTTAGTCACATTGGTTATAGGTGACTTGAGGAGAGACAGTAAGGAGTTGACGATGACATCTAGCTTGTAAGCCTAGGGATCTGGGAGGATGGTGGTGCCTTCAATAGTAATAGAAAAGTTTGGAAGGAGGGAAGAATTAGGGGGAAAGATAATGAATTTGGTTTGGACATGTTAAGAACTGGGCATCCAGTTCAAGATGTCTAATAGGTAATTGGCTATGTGAGACTAGACATCAGCAGGGAAGTTAGGGGTAAATAAGGAGATTTGAAAATCATCAGCATAGAGATGATAACAGAATCCATGGGAGGTGATGAGATCACTAAGTAAAATAGCATATGGAAAAGACAGAAGAAGGCCCAAGACAGAGTCCTGTGAGACCCCAGTTATTGGGCATTACCTGGATGAAGATCTGGCAAAAGGACACTGAAAAGGAGCAGTCAGATAGGAGGAGAATCAAGACAGAATAGTAGAGAGAAGAGCATATCAAGGAAAAGGTGGTGATTTACAGTGTCGAAGTTGTAGAGAAGTCAAGAAGGATGGGGATTGAGAAAAGGCCATTAGATTTGGCAATTAAGAGATTACTGGAGGGGCAGCTAGGTGGCGCAGTGAATAGAGCTCTGGCCTTGGAGTCAGGAGGACCTGAGTTCAAATCCAGTTTCAGGCACTTAACATTTACTAGCTGTGTGATCCTGGGCAAGTCGCTTAACCCTGATCGCCTCACCAAAAAGCAAAAAAAAAAAAAAAAAAAAAAAAAGATCACTGGCAACTTTGGAGAAAGCAGTTTCAGTTGAATGATGCTGCTGGAAGGCAGAATGTAGAGTTAAGAAGAGAGTTGGAGGGGAGGAAGTGGTGGCACCTATGGTAGATGGCCTTCCCAAGGAATTTAGCCACAAAAGGTAGGAAAGATATGGAGTGATAGTGAGTGGGGATGGTTAGATCAATGAAGCGTTTGTGAGGATAGGAATGCACAAGCATATTTGTAGGCAGTAGGGAAGCAGCCAGTAGAGAGGGAGAGATCAAAGATAATTGAGACAGTGGAGATGATAGAGTGGACAATCTGCTAGAGGAGACTGGGTAGAATGGGATTCACTTGTGCAGGTAGAGGGGTTGGCATGGGCCATCTCATCATATGAGACAAGGAGAGGATAGGATTGGATACATCTGGATGATGTGAGATAAGGAGGAAGGGGGAAGAGGGAGCTCTTGGTGAATCCTCTTTTTTTTTTTTCACTAAAATATGAGGTAAGGTTCTCAGCTAAGAAGGTGGGAGGATGGGGAGGCATGGAGGATTTGAAGAGGAATGTAAAGGTTTGGAAGAGCTGCTGTGGTAGGTGGGATAGTGAGTTAAATAGGAAGGGGTAAAAGGATTGCCTAGTAGCAGTAAGGGTCCAGTTGAGGTGATGTAACATAAATTTGTAATGGATTCAGCATGGCTGGCAGCATGTTGCATGCTTTTCTCCACTTTCTTTTGGCAGCACATATGTAGAAGCAAATGGTTGGTAAGAGGGAGCCAAGGCTGAGACTTGGCATAACATAATAAGCAATATGATAAGGGAGCAAGGGGCTCAGAGAGAGGGCAGTGTAGAGTTCACCTGGTTCACCAAGGGGTCAAATAGGGAAAGGAGAACAGTGCAGCTAGCGCAGGGGTGGTGGTGTAGGAGAGAATGGAGAGGTTAAGGAGGGCACAGTGCAGGTGAAGAACAGGGATTAAAGTTGCAAGGCAGAGGGAAAGGTGGAATAACCACTGATTGTGATCAAAGAAGGGAATTTGAATTCACAAGCTTTTAGAGATGATGGCAAAATCAAGGATATGACCATCTCTGGATGTGGCTGAGATGGGATAGAGGAGGAAGACATGGGAAATGAGTAAGTGAGGAAACTGGGAGGTTCAGATGTTTGAGGGAGAACTGATATGTACGTTAAAGTCCCCTAGTAAAAGGACAGGAGTTGGGAAGGAAAGATTGTGAGCCAGGAGCTGAATTCATTAAGGAAAGAAGTGTCATATCCTAGACTTCTGTAGAAAAAAGGGTCTTTATTTCATGGTAGATGTAGATTTTTATGAACCTCAAAGGAGGAGAGATTACCACTTGATGGTGGGTGGTAGGGGGGAACCCTGAAGAGGCAAGGGACAGCCAAGAGTATTCCAACTCCCCCCCTCAACCAGTGAGTTCAGTGTGAGTGGAAGTGAAGACAGTATTGGAAAGAGGGCTATGGGAAGTTCTGTTATCAGGAGAAAGTTAAGTCTCAGTGAGAGCCAGAAGACGGAAGGAGAGGGAAAAGATTTAAGGTAAGAGCAAATAAGCCTATTGCCTGTGGAGCAGGCATTCCAGAGGACACAGCGGAAGTAGCTTTGGGGTGGGACACTGGGGGAGGTAGATGGAGGGGAATGGGAATAATGAATTGGTTAGTAGGGGATGTGGAATGGGGTTTGAAGGATGACTGTAGGGGTTCAGAATCACTTGGATGGAGAAGGTATGACCACGGGGAAATTTGTTAGTCAATAAGGGAAAATTTTAGAAAGATTTTCAATGTCAATAGTGTTGTGATCTCAGAGTGTAGAACTTTCAGTGCCTTAGGCAGTTCAAGTGAGGAAGCAAGAACTTGGAGCAGAAGGCATGGAGAGCAGAAGGTGAGTCTCTTTCTCCCAAGGCAGAAGACCAGGCTGGAAACTTGGTAGAATAGCACCCTCTCCCCTCAGGAGACTTCTGAGCCCAGTGGAGGCTGGCGTCCAGGCATTTAGGGAGACCAGGCCGGAGATGGTGGCACAATGTTAAGGTACCCTCCTCTGAGGGATGCCAGGTGTTCAGAAGTGCCCAGAAATGGAATGAACCCAAGAAGAACAGGTGCAAAATGAAAGTAAATTCGTTAGCTATAGAATAGGAATTCCTGAGGGCAAGCTAGAAGAGGTGAACAGAACAAAAGTGGTAGAGTTGAGGAAGACAAAACTTAAAGAACAAGAAATGGGGTAAAGAGTGGGCTGTAGTTTACTTTTGGGTAGCTGGTGATTTAGTATCATAGGAATTAAGGAGTAACACACGGTGAGATTTTGCCAGTCATAAGGTTAGCAATGAGTGGGAGCGCTCTGCTGAAGACACCAGACAAAGACAATGCTCAGTCTCAGCAACTCCACCACATGCATTTATTAAGCACTTGATATATGGTAGGGATTCGATATCTGAGAAGTCTTTGGCAATCTCCAGACAAAAGCTGAGTCACCATTTGTCTGAGATGCTCTCAGAGGGATCTTCTCTTTGGGGACAGGCTATAAAAGGTGGATTCTGGAGTCTATGCCACTGTTGAGATTCTATAATTCTCAGCCTCAGTTTCCTCAGCAAAATAGGGATTATAATATTTTACTACTTAACCTAGAGTTGTTTGGAGAAATAGTTTCGCAGACCATAATGCATTAAATACCTAAAGCATGTAAAGTTAAAATGTATGTAATTATCAGCTCTAGAATGTTAGAGGCAAAGGGAATAATAAATATTGCCTGGTCCAATCCCCTTATTTCAAAGATGAAGAAACTGGAGGTCAAAGCAGTTAAGTGCCTTGCCCAGTATCACAGAATAGTGGTGGAATTGGAACTTTAAAGCAGGTATAAAATCCCCAGTATTCCTTCTCCCACATGATATAGCTTCCTTTATAGCTCACCATGTCTGTAACTTCTTGGTAGGCCTAACACACTTTTAATAACAGAGATTATACATGTGTATATGTACATATGTATTTGTATATATGTATATATACATACATGTATGTGTTATTTATTTAATCTGATTTGTGACACCAGTTTAGCTAACCTGCATTTTCAAAATCATGACTTTTAGAAATGAGAGACAGTAATTTAGAAAACGAGAATTTATGTATAAGTCAAAGATCTGTGAACTCATCTGTGTGGGTGATCCATTGATACAGACACCAACCCTCTCATAGCTTAGTAAATCATTTTATAAACAGTTCCATGAGTTTCATGATTTGCTGTAGCCACAAAAAGTGATCACCTGGTGGTTAGCTTTCTAGAACCTCTCAGCTCAGAGAGGCTGATCCATCCTTGTACTTAAGTCTATCACTGGGTCCACAAGAGCTAACATTTATATAGGTTAAAGTTTTTTAATTGTTACATTTTCTCATTTTATCCTCACAATAATACTGTGAAGTTGGTGTTCTTGTCCCCATTTTACAGATGAGGAAAACCGTGGCTCAGAGAAGTTGACTTCCTCAAGGTCACACAGCTAGTAAATGTCTGAAGTAAGCTTTCTGAAACCATGTTTTTGTGAATCCAAATGTAGCACTATATCTACTGTGCTATGTTGCCATCGGCCTGAAGAAGACCCCATACATCCTTTATATGTACAATGGGCATGAAACAACTGGCCATCCTTCACATAAAAGGCAGAAAAGTGGTATCTCAGAATAAACCCAAAAGTATTATTATATATTACATATTATAAAAGTGTTACTTTTAGAACTGTTACATGTACCTCTCCTGGTAAAATAATACAAAATGAAAGCTACATATACATAAAAAGATAAGTATCAATAAATGAAAGCATGCATTTATTTTTTACCTCTCCAAGAGAAATGTAGTATTTTTTCATAATTATCTCATTTTCATCTTCGACTAAAGAAGGCAGTGGGGCTGCTGGCTTTTTAGCAACCCATGGCCTATAAAGAGAATCTACGTACATATTCATGCCTGATCTGCTCCATCTCACTTGTGATATCAGTTTAGCCAACCTGCATTAGAGAAATAAGAGCTATTAGAAATGAGACAAGCCATATCTTCAGAGAGGATCAAGAATTCAATTTTATATATTCAACTCCAATCATCCTCTCCGCAGAATGCCCTTCTCTGACATAATTAGAACTAAAAGAAGTACATGGCGAGATTTCCGTGGCCAAAGCTGGTAGCCAGTATTCATTGCTGGTTCTGATATATTCCTTCAGTACCCACACTAAGACAAGAATTCTTAATTTTCTTTGTTTATTGTTATTATTTAATAAGATTTTACAAACACACAACACACATACACACACAAACACACACACACACACACACACACATAGTTATATGTTCAGAAATGGCCAAATGCTCGATAAGCTTATAACCAAATCATCTCATATATCCCCTTTATATATGCAAATTTCAAAATTTAAGAGATATTTGCTTAATTAGTGCCAAAATTAAAACCATCTTCCCAGTCTTTCCAGTGCTCATTAGTTTTTGATTCTCTAAGAAAAATGCAAAGTCCCCAACATAAAGAATCTCATTCTTTGTGACATATTAGAATTGAGGGAAAGCAAAATTCCAGAATAGCTCAACCCCATCAGAGTCTCTCATCTTCTGTGGCTTTGATAGGTATTTCATGTATTTTTTTTATTAGGGGGAAAAAGCTTATTCAGAGCATGGGTCAATATTAAGTAATGCAAAAAATTCTGAAACATATTAAGATAAAAAAAAAATCCTGATGCATTTTTTAAGGCCAAGAAAAAAAGAAGTATGTGATATTCTAGTATGGCTTGGTATCCTTTTTCTCCCACCTTAATCCATGCACATTAATCTGATAAACCATTCCAACTCTGTGATTATATGAAATTCCAGTTTATTTCTGCTAGTTTTACAGAATATAGTGCTCAGAAGTATAATAAGAAGCATATTTCTTAGATTTGGCTTCCCTGAGATCTTTTTGGAAAGAGCAAAGACTCTTAAGAACTATGATAAGCAAAAGTAAAATGTTGATGTTCTGATGAGAAAACAGGTAATAAATTTTACCTATAGAATCACTAAAATTCACATGGACCAAAGAAGAGTTTCAGCCTATGAACTTTTTATTAGAATAATATTTAATATTATTTAATAATATTTAAATAATATATTTAAAAATATATAAAATAAAATACATAGCATTACAAAGGAAACCAATCAGACTGAAAAATAGTTACCAAAATATTTTTTTTTCAGAAATCAAGTTCACATAGGGCTAAAAGCTGGACACTTAAGTATCTTGAAAAAGTAGAGCAAAAGTTATGTTAAAAAAAAGAAAATTTTTAAAGCATATTTTAAGCATGTATCCATGAAAATAACAATACCTGTATTCAAAGTAACAATCACTTTCTAGAAATGCTGGAAGTCTCTCTTTCTTAATCCACTGAATACCTTGTTCACGGTTGAGAGACTATTAGAGAGATAGAAACAGAGAGAATTAAAGTAGTTTTTTTTTTAATCCACTATGGGCTTTTTTTGCACAATTAGGAGTCCCTGGTACCCTGGAGGCCTCTATTAGCTGAACCCCTAACCCTTACACTTCCCCCTCTTAACTTCATTCAATTCAATGCAATAAGCATCTATTAATCACCTACAAAAACAAAATAGTTTGAACTCGAGAAGATTAAATTCTATTGGGAAAGATATTCATTTCTTCTTAAGACCTTCTAGGTAGAATAAGAATGCTTCCAGTATTCTTCCCCCTACCTCCAATCCTTCACACAATCCACACAGCTGCCCAAATAATCATTTATCAGCAAGGGATCAGACACCAGGCTATCTAGTGGGGCAATAGATAGCAGAGTGGATAAAGTACTCAGGAACACCCGAGTTCAAATTCAGCTTCAGTTATTTATAAGCTGTGTGATCCTGGGCAAGTCACTTAACCTCTGTTTGCCTCAGTTTCCTCATCAGTAAAATGAGGATAATCATAGCACTTAACCTTCCAGGGTTGTTGTGAGGATTAAATGAGATAACAATTGTAAAGCACTCAGTGCAGTGCCTGGCACATAGTAAGCATTAAGTAAAAGTTAGCTATTATTATCTGGCCACCAAGACCGGATCCACAGCACTTAAGAGGCATAGGTCCTAGAGCTTCCTTCCATCCCCAACCCCACCTAGGGGAGAAAATCAAGTAGCTGTGCTTGCTCAGACCTTGGCCAGTCTACTGTGCTATGGCTAGTGAACAGGCACTGTTATTTCCTCCTCTTGGAAGCCCTGTAATTCAATAGTTGTAGGCTGCCTAAGTAAAAACTTCCTTTCCCTGTTGCCATCCCTGCTTACTCCTCCTTATCCAACTCAGTGGCCCTATTCTTCTCTGCCCTCCCCTTCCACAGAATGTCATTCTATTGTTAACAGATTGCCCTTCCTATTAGCCCTATTCCTTTTATACTCCTTCCATGTTTTTGTATTCAAGGAAACAAGGCTACCTCAAGAAGAAAGGAAATCCCTGGCCACCCTGTCTAGAACTAGATGCATCTTCTCTCAAGCCCCTCAACACACTGGGCCAGGAGAAAGAAGTAAGCATATCCTTGGTTCCCCGACACTACTGCCAGACCCTCCATCCGCTTCAGTCTCAGAGGAAGAGGTGGTCCCTCTTTTTTTACAAAGATGAACTCTTCCACTCATGCCTTTGAGCACCTTCTCTCCAGCAGTTACCTGTTTAATCGTTCCCTCCTCTCTTTCTAACCTTTGTTCTCCAGATTCATTCCCTACTACCTCTACAATCATTCCCATGTATCCCCATCCTTAAAAAAAAAACCCAGACCTTTCACTTGACCTTATACTCTAGAGTAATTATTTCATATCTCTTCTCCCTTTTAACTGACAAATTCCTAGAAAATGCTATATATTCTTTTGTCTTCACTGCCTCACATCCCAGTTCTTCTTAACCTTTGGCAATCTGTCTCCCAACATTATTAGTTGATTGAAACTGTTCTCTACAAGATTAGTAATAATCTCTTAACTGCTAAATCCACTGGACTTTTCAATTCATCAATAAACATTTGTTAAGCATCTATCATGTGCCGGCATTGTGTTTGACAAAGAGAATAAAAATACAAAACTGAGATAGTCCTTACCCTTAAGGAACATTTTCTGGGAGTCTGGCTATGAAAGCTAGGAGGAAAGCAGAATTATTTTTTATGATGACAATTTTTTAACCACAGAAAAGATCTGGGCACGATTGTAGGTAAAAGAGAAGGAGCCAATTGCCATCTTCCTAACCTCTCCACATTTATTTGAACACTGCTGACCATCCCCTTGGATTTTCTTTTCCCTTGGTTTTAGTGAAATCATTCTCTTGTGGTTCTTCTCCGTTCTGACTGTTGTTGTTATGTCCTGCTCCTACGCATGGATATACAACAGCACTTAAGAAAGTGCTGCACTTTAGACCTGTACTTTAGGAAGATCAATTTGACAGGATGAATTTCAGTGAAGAGAGACTTAATGTAGGAAGACCAACTAGCAGATTACTGCAATAGTCTGGGTGTGTAAGGTGATGAGGGCCTGCCCCAGGCTGGTGGCAGTATCAGAGGACAGGAAGGAGTTTATACAAGAGATGTTGAAAAGGTAAAAACAAAAGCACTTGGCATCTGATTAGATATGGGAGGTGAGAGGAATTGAGGATTTGGGGGTGATAGCTACATCATGGGCATGACTGATTGAGAGGATAGGGCTACCCTCCAGAGTAATAGGGAAGTTAAGAAGAGAGAGAGGCATGGAGAGGGGGGAAGATAATGATGTCAAGTTTTGGACATGTTGAGTTTAAAATATATGTGACACCCAGTTTGAAAAATCCAACAGGCAGCTGAAAATGGAAGAGGCAGCTGGAGGTTGGAAGAGAGGTTAAGATGCACAACTAAATCTAAGAATCATCTGCATACAGATAATAATTGAAACAGTATAGAGGGAGATATAGAGGCCCAGGACAGAGGCCTGGGGGACACCAAACAATGAAGGAGGAAACTAATGATCCAAAACAGAAGACTGAGAGGGAATAATGGGGAAGGTAGGGGGACAACCAGGAGAAGGGCAGTGTCACAAAAAACAAGAGAAGAGTTTTGGGAATAAGAGGGGATCAACAGTTGTCAAAGGCTGTAGAGAGGTCAAGAAGGATGAGAAGTGAGAAAAGGCCATTAGATTTTTAAAAAATATATTTTATTTGTTTTAATCAGTCAAGATCCTCCTCCTCCCACCCTAACCTCACCCCAATAACTGAGAACGTAAGAAAAACAAAACCCATTACAAGCATGTAGAGTCAATTAAAAGAACTTCCCACGTTGGTCATGTTAAAAAAAAATCGGGGGTGGGCAGCACGGTTTTATCATCAATGTTCTGGAATCCTAGTTGGTCATTATACTTATAAGAGCTCAGCACAATAGTATTCAATCACATGTATATGCCACAACTTGTTCATCCACTCCCCAATTTACCAGCTCCCCCTCTGATTCTTATCCTTTATCATTTCAAAAGGAGTTATAAATACTTTTGTACATGCTTAGAGTTTGTTTTGCTAAAGGGGAGGGGACTGATCCGTCCCTTAATCTTGTTGAGTCCTTTCAGTTGTGTCAGACTCTTTTGTAATCCCATTTTGGAGTTTTCTTGGCAAAAATACTAGAGTGGTTTGCCATTTCCTTCTCCAGCTCATTTTACAAATGAGGAAACTGAAGCAAACAGGGTTAAGTGATCACACAGGATCACACAACTAGTAGGTGTCTGAGGCCAGATTTGAACTCAGAAAGATGAGTCTTCCTGACTCCAGGCCTGGTATTCTATCCCCTGCACTACCTAGCTGCCCCTTCCCCTAGTCTACTCTCCCCTCTAATGCCCTCCCTCCCTTCCTCCTCCTCCCCTTTTCTTCCTATTTCTCTATTGAGGGAAATGTATTTCTGCACCCAACTCTGTGCATGAGTTTATTCTTTCTCCATATGACCAATTCAGATGAGGGTGAGGTTCAAGTGTGAACTATTCCTCCCCCCATTCTCTCCGTGCCTGTATAGATGTCTATTTGTATACCCAATTATATGAGATAATTCTTCTTAACCTTCCTTTTCTTCCCCTCTCCTTAAGGTATTTCTCTTCCCCTCTTTCTCCATTCTTTTCTAAGACCATCTAGACAAGACAGAATCATTGTCTAATTGGACTTCCTCTATGAACTCTGATGATGATAAGGATCAGAGAAGACTTGTTACAATCTCCCCATATTTGACTGTAAGCAGTTTATCCTTGTATATTCCTTTATCATTGTTCATTCTTGTTTACTTTTTTATGTTCTCTTCACTTGGGTTTGAATCTCAATGCTTCTGCAAAGCTCTGGTCTTTTCATTAAGAATGCTTAGAAGACTTCTATTTCATTAAAGATCCATTTTTCCCCTGTAAAGGCCATTTTTGCCTTCTGGAATATCATATTCAAATCTCTGCTCCTTTACCGTAGTGATTGCTAAATCGTATGTGATTCTGACTGTGGCTCCCCAGTACTTGACTTTTTTCTTTCTACCTACTTGCAGTAATTTTGTTGTTGTTGTTGTTACTGTTGTTGTTGTTGACCTGGAAGCTCTGGATTTTGGCTATGATGTTTCTAGAAGTTTTTATTTGTGGGTTCACAGGAAGTGACTTCCAGGAGGTGACTGATGAGTTCTCCACTTTCCCCTCTGGTTCTAAGAGAACTGGGCAATTTTCTTTTAAGACTTTAAGCTTTTATTTTTAAGATTTCTTGAAATATGTCCAGGCTTTGGGGGGGGGGGGGTCATAGTGTTCAGATCAATTGTTTTTGTTATGAGATATTCCATATTTTCTTCTGTTTTTTTTTCAGCCTCTAGATTTTGTTTTAATGTTTCTTGTTGCCTCATGGAGTCATTGGCTTCTACTAGTCCATTCTAATTTTTAGGAACTTTGTTATTTAAGCAAAGTTTTGTACCTCTTGGGCCAAACTGTTAATTCTCTTTCTTATTCTTCTTTCCATAACTCTCATTTCTTTTCCATTTTTTTTCTCTAACACTCTCATTCCATTTATAAAAACATTTTTAACTCTTTTTTTTTAACTTTTAACTTGCTTCATCTCTTTCAGGGAATCTAGTTGAGTTTATGCACAAACTGTCTTTCTGAGGCATGGCATGTAGATATTTTGGAGTCATTCTCTTCTGTGTTTGTATTGTGCTTGCCACCATACCAGCCCATTATGGTGGGGTTCTTTTTTTGTTTGCTCATTCTTCCAGCCTAACTTCAAACTTCATGTTAGGGCTGGGCTCTGCCACACTTCCAGAGGGAAGGTCTGAGCTTGTTCTGGTGTTTCCTTCCTAGGGTATTGAGTATTTTGTTATCCTAGGATCTTAGGAACAGGCTGGGAATCTGAAAGCTTCAGTGTTCCCAAAGTGGTCCGATCCTGAGTAGAGTCTGATGGCTGCCCTGCTAGTCTGAGTTTTGCAAGTTCCTCTCCTGGGTAGACTGCTGCTAGACTCAGTGCCTGTCAGACAGATAGAAAGCTGTCTTGGTTCAGAATTGCAGGCTATCCTTTGATCTGGGATTCCCATCTTGGTTATACCTCTGCAGGCTGGGTTAGATGCTAAAAGTCAGGCCCTGCTTTGCTCCTGGGGTTTGAGTCACATGCTGCTGCTAGATTCTGAACTTCTTCCTTTCCCCCTAGAGGGAAGGTCACTCCCCTAAGTGAGTCTGCTTCTCAGGCCACCCTGGATCTGTGACCCAGAACTGGGTAGCGGTGACAAAGCTGCTGGTTCGCACCTCTCCCCATTGCTGTTCCCCAGGATGGCTCTGAGACATCTCCTTTTGCCCTGGTACACAGCCTTTCTGTGGGTGCTGGATTGCTCCACCCTGCACTTCTGTGTTCCTGGCCTGACCCTGACCCCAGTGTCCACAAACTTCCCTGACTGTCTCCCTATGCTGAGCTGGACTGGACAAATCACTATAACTTTTTTTTTTTCTGGATTTCCCCATCAGCATTCTATCAGGTGCATTTTCTAGATCTGTCTGGAGAACTTATAAACTTATATATATAGCTCAGCTGCACTGCTTTCCTACTACTCAATCATCTTTGGCCTTTACATTTGGCAGTTAAGAGATCAATGGTAACTTTGGAGAGAGCAATTCCAGTGGAATGATAAGGTCAGAAGCCAGATAGCAGAGAAAGAGGAAGTGGAGGCACTTATTGCCAGCCTTCTCAAGGACGTTAGCCAGAAAAAGTAAAAGATATAGGAAGATAGCTAGTGGGGATGGATGGATCAAGTGAGGTTTGTTTTTTTAAGAAGAAGGAGGAAACATGAGCATTTTGTAGGCAGTAAGGAAGCAACCAGTAGAAAAAGAGAGATTGAAGATAAGTAAGAGTGGGGATCATAGCCCCTGGAGGTTTGAAGAGGGTTTGGAAAAGATACTGTGGTTAAGTGGGATAATGAACCAATTAGAAAGGTGTAAAAGGATTAACTTGTCACAGTGAGGGCCCAGCTGTGATTATGTAATAAATTTGTAGTAGACCCAGCCAGTACCATTTTTAATATTTCCTCCAGCTTTACTCAGCAGCACATGAGTAGGAGTGAAGGCACTCCTGTAAAGTGAAGGAGTGAAGATGGTGGTAGTCATTTAAGACTGAGGCTTAGCTGGGCACAATATGATAAGGGAGCAAAAGACTCAGAAGAGGAGAGTGTAGAGTTGAATTGGCCTCTAGTCCTCTCTCTCCTTGTTTCCAGGCCTGTATCCCCAGCTACCTGGTGTATATCTCTCCCTGGTTGTTCTGTTGACATCTCAAAATCAATGCGTCCAAGATGGAATACCCATTGTCTTTCCCCTGAAAACTATCCCTCTAACCCCTCTATTTCTGTCAAGAGCACCACCAACTCACCAGTTCAAAACATGGGAGTCATTCTTGATGCTTCATTGCCACTCACCTCTGCGAAACCTATCAGCTGCCAAGTGTTGCCTGTTCTGTTTCCATAAGATGCGCTCCCCCCACCCCAATCTGTCATCCTCTCTCCATTCACAGTCTACTACCCTAATGCAGGCCCTTATCACCTCCCACACCAAGATCATCACAGTAGCCTTTCATTGATCTCTTTATATCCAGTCTTTCCATCCTCTAATTTATTCTCTGAACTACTTCCAAATTGATATTCCCAAAGAACAGGTCTGACCATGTCACTTTCCTGTTCAAAAAGGCTAAGTAGGCTCCATGTTTAACCTAAGATAAAATACAAACCTCAATTTAAAGCCCTTCACAATCTGGCTCCAAATGGTCTTTCTAGGTTGACCATTACTCTGCCTCATGCATTCTATGGTCCAGTCAAATTGTTCTATTTCCTGTATATTACATTTCATTCCCCACCTCTGTGCCATCAAATAGGCTGTCCCCCTGCCCCCATGCCTAGAAAGAAAGTTCATCTAATCAACCTCTCAGGCTCTCTTGCCATCTGAAGATTCCCAGTGCTCTACCACTTCTCCCCACCTAGACCAGTAACTTCCATACTGGACCTGGACCATCAAGTCCCAGAGGAAGGTAATTCATTTTCAGAGCTCCAGCCCTAGGGCCCAGCTCAGTTCATTAGTGACTGAATTAGAATGCAAAGCAATTCATTAAGCCTACTTTATCTGCTTACCAGCCAGCCCGAGGCCCTAAACCAGCCTAGTGGCAAAGTGGCAGGCAGGTGGCAAGTTGTACAGGCCTGCCCTAAACCATGCTTCTCCTTCACATCCAATCCAGCCATCTGCAGTTATCCCTTCCACATCTTTGGCGGGGTAGGGGATGTTAGAAAATCCACATAAAAACTTTTGGCCCTCCATATCAGAGAAGTCTGAATTTTTTTCTTTTTCTTTAATGGGATGTTTATAGTACCTTATTATAGAATTTGGGCTGATATTATACAATATCACACATATATTTTATGTATTTCTGAGTTTCTAAGCTTTTTCTGCTGGCCTTCGTGTGTCATCTGCAGCTTCCCCAAAACTCCCCAAAATTCTCATTGATTACAATTTAGTCAAGTACACTGTTTCTTTAATTGAAAGAGACCCCCCTTCCAGACCTAGAACTTAATTCCAACTAATACTTTATTTTAAGCAATTAATTTTAGTTCAAATTCAATTTCTTACCATAATATTATAGTTGATATTTATAGTATCTTCTTTAGGAGGGACATTTAATTTATCAGGCATCATACTACATTTTTCTTTCCTTATAACATCATAAATGGGATTTCGAGGTTTCTGTTCATGTAGAATTCTTTTCAGTTGTTTTTCTAGAAGGTTAGGGGCATCATTAACTACTTCAAAAACTCCATAATCCACATTAAATCTAATTGCCTCTGAAAAAGTCTGAAAAAGAAATGTTTTAAACATTACACCAAAAAAAAAAAAGCTGAGAAAACTCATTACCTACATACATATGAAAGGAACTTAAAGGATTAAAAAAAAATTCCAGCAATTCAAATTCTTATTTAGAAGGCATGTAAGAAGCTATTGGCCTGAGAGTAGGGCACCATGATAGCCTCATAAATACAATTAGGCCATTGGATAGAATTAGGGAAGACCATAGCAGTGATTCTCCCATCTGGCTACCTTACCTCAGCTATGTGCATCTCATAAACTTACAAAATTTGATTTCAATGGTACACTCTTGTTGGAAGGGTGAATTACTGAGAAAGGATGGGAGAGGAAAGGAGAGACTTTTACATCTTCTACCCCTTTCACTTTCCTCTTGCCTGAAAGGAAAGAACTGAGCTCATCATGTTCTTCATGTAAGATGTGACTAAAGGATGGTTTTTCCAAAATACCACAGGATCTCCAGGTTTACTAATACAAAAACTTGCTATAAAGCAGGATATGATTTATTTAAAGTCATAACTTTTGTTGTGAGAATTTCATCTTCTAAGTCTACCTTGTCATTTGATGACTTCCTTACGTGTGAATTTAAATTACATGGATATTATGTTCAACATGAAAGCCAAACACAGATTAAAAGGCCTCAGAGCTGAAGGTCAAGTTCAACAAATTCAACAAATAATAGACAATAGTTTCACAGACATAATTAATAAATATAAATAAACAAAAATTAGCCTTAAAGAAAATAAACTATGAGTGATTTTATAATAATAATGGTGATATAATAATGATGATGATGATAAAGGTAGCTAGGTGGCACATTGGATAGAGTGCTGGGGCTGGAGTCAGGAAGACCAGAATTCAAATCCAGCTTCAGACACTTGCTGGCTGTGTGGGGGAGATATGACTATACAGCTGTTCATCTTGAAGAAATCTGGGATTTTCATGGAATGCAAGCTTAATGTGAGTCACCAGTGTCATCTGGCAACCAAAGGGGATCAGAATCTACCTTGAGAATCATAACATCTAAAAAAAAAAATCATAACATCTAGAACTAACAAGGTGATCCAGTCAGACCCCATGTGGAGTGCTGTGTTCAAGGCTCGGCACCTGTCACTGATAAAATGGAGAGCTTAGTGAGGAGAGATGGCCAAGTGCCTTCAGATCATACCATAGAAAAAACAGCTGAGGAGACTAAAGAAGACTTAGGAAGCTTATGTTAGATACATTTAAGGAGGTGGAAGCTGGTGTTAGCCTTGTTCTGCTTGCAAGGCTCCAGAGGGTGGCACGAGGAGCAACGGATGGAAATTGAAGAGGGGCAGATTTTGACTCAATATTAGGAAAAACTTTCTGACAATCTGAGCCGTCCCAAAGTGGAATGGATTGCCTCAGGAAACCCTCCTACCTTCAGGTCTTCCAAAAGAGGTCGGCAGTCAACTAAACCACAACGCTCCCAAGTACATTTAGAGCTTCCCACGTCTATTCGAGTTTAATACCTCTGAAGTAAACGATTTCCTGATGACTCGGCAAAACACTAATTTTGAAAAGGCACTGATATTTCCATACCATAAGAGTATCATTTAATGCACATTTAGAGAGTGAATGATAAGCCACAAATTCCAGAGTAACAATGATGAAGCGTGTTACCCATCGCCTGATGGGTGATAAGACTCAGGATAAAGAATGAGACATACATGTTTTGGACATGGCCAATGCAGGAATTTGCTTTTGCTCGATCAACTTACACACACATTTGTTACAAGGTTTTGTTTTTTCTTTTGGGGGAAGTCAAGAGAAAGAAAAAAATATATATGTTTATTAATCAAAAAAATTTTTTTAATTTTAAATGGCAACCTACTACTGTTATTTAGTAGTACTGCTCTACCCAAAACCTTCAGGGGCTTCCCATGCCTACCACATGAAATTTGAACCATATCCCTTCACAATCTGGCTCTAAACCTACCAGTTCAACCCTATCTCATATTCCTTCTCTTTAAGTATTCTATGTTTCAGACAAACTGGAAAACGGAGCGTGGGGCTCTTTTCCACATTCTCTTCTCGTCCTGCCCTCTCTCATCACATCTTGGTGTCTTTGTGACACCAACTGCGTGTTTAGAAGAGATTCTCACCACCCCCAGTTTCCATCTGCTGAAGTTCTTCTCTCCAAGGCCCAATTCAAATGTCACTCCTATTCTTGACTTTCTTTTCTAAGAGATGAAAATGATCTCTTCTTCCTCAAAACTCCCAGAGTACTTGGTTGTCTTCTGCCCCATCACACTCTACCTTGGTTAATAATTCCATGTTATAAATGTATGTATGTGTTACATGCTCCCATTAGACCACAGTAAGCTCCTTGAGGGCAGCATTGTCACTATCATCTTTGTATCCCTGGCACCAGCAGTTTCTCATGTGCAGCACCCACTTTCAAAATGTTAGTTAAATTGAACCATCTCCACAAAAGGCCTACTCTATGCCTTATTCCAGTGTGGAAATGAAGCTGAATTCTTGATAGGCTATGTCAATGGAACACAAGCTCTGATTTTATCAAAGTGAAAAAGGCTTTGACTATTATACCAACAACAGGCTGTGTGTATTAAACTCAATTTAATAAACATTTATAAAACACTAACTGTATACAAAGCATTCAAATATATATGGTAGGCACTCAGGACAGAAAACCCAAAACAAAAGAAAATAAAAAACACTAGTCCCTGCTTTCAAGGAAATTACTTCCTATTATATAGGGACTATCTTAGCAAAACAAAGAGCTTCATCACTGCAAGGTCAGCCACAGTAACCCATAAAAAAGATAAAAATACAAAATGGCCTTCAGTTCTGTGTAATACCATCATCATCATCATCCTCATCAATCATTTATTAAGCCCTTGCTACACGCTGTGCTAAATGTTGGAGATACAAAAAAGGGCACAACCTTGGTTCTCAGCCTCAAGTAGTTCACATTCTAATGGGAAAGAACACAAAACAACTATCACATACAAAATATATCAAGCAAATGTAAGACAATCTCAGCCTGCCCTAGATAGTGTACTGCTTAGTAAAAGGGACCAGGAAAGTCTTCTTGTAGAAGGTGGGATTTGAGGAGAGCTTTGAAGGAAGCCAGGGAAGCCAGGAAGTAGAAATGAAGAGGAAGAAATTCCAGGCATTGAGGACAGGCAGGGAAAAAGGTGCGGGACAGCATACTGTGTGCCAGAAACAGCAAAAAGGCCAAGGTAGCTTGTCATAGAGTTCACAGAGGGTAATGAAGTGTAAGAAGACTGGGAAGGTAGGAAGAGGCCAGGTGGTGAAGGGCTTTCTTAAAAGCCAAATAGAGGATTTTATATCTGATCCTGGATCAATTATAATATAGTGATAATGTAATATAATACAATAGGGAACTAATGGATTTAATGAGCTGGAGGTGGAGTGGGGTGCAAGGGGGTGACATAGTCAGACCAGCACTTAAAGAAGATCATTTTGTCAGCTGAGTGGTGGGGAGAAGAGAGATTTGAGGCAGGAAGACCAACCAGTGGTTGCTTCTGCAGTGACTCTAGGATTAGGAAATTAGGATTTCCTAATCAGAAATATAGGATATAGGAATTAGGAAAGGGGAAACAGAGAATTTTAAGAATTGCATCATTTTTTAGACTGTCTACAAACATCTTGGCTGCTAGTACTATAAACGTTAGATCTTTGAGTGATACTGACCAACAAGTTAAAAAGCTACTGTCCTAGAAAAACTAAATTACAACCACGTTGAAATTCTTGCTACGAATGAAACTAGAAGATAAAGAAACGGTAGCTAAATGGAAGAACAACTCAGAGGTTCTCCTTACAGAGATGATTAAAGGAGCTGGAGTCATTGGCTTTAGTACACATCCAAGGGAAACAAAAAACATCATTTCATAGGATGCTTGGTCACTTCACCTTTTTTGGGCTCCTTAACTCATTATGAGCAAACACAGCTTATTACCAACATCTGTTACAAAATATGAAGAGATAAAAAACTATGAAAAACTTGAAAGATATTCCACACTAAGTCAACATATATTAATATTAATATTTTAATATTTGATGACTTCAAAGTGAAGGGCACGAAAGTGGGTAGCAAAAAAGTATTCTGGAAAATATGATTCAGCATCAAAATATGAAAGAGGCCAATGGTTTATAGACTACTCAGAAAGAGTTAAAATAATGGTAGAAGCAGCAATCAACAAACATCATAACAAAAAGTAAAAATGATCCTATCTTAACAGACAAGAAATGACTGGTTACTAATGTTGGAGTAATTTCAGAATCAACTACCAGAGGTGCAGCCAGATTGTTGAATGGTTGAAGCAAAAGTAAAAATTCAACACCAAATCTATTAAAAAAAGGATAAAGATGAGTTGACATAGAATACAATTATAAGGTGTTCATCTAGATCTATTTTTTATTTGTCCAATTCCATTTTATTCATAGGAACAAAGTGTGACCCAGTGGAAAGAACAATGGATTAGGGTTATCATTTGAGTTCAAATGCCAGCACTGACATCATGCTACTTCTGTGACTAAGCCATTTTCTTTGCTGGGTATTATTTTCCTCATCTGTGAAATGAGGGTGTTGGAATATACAATCCCTTTCTGCTTTAAATCTATGCTTTTATGCAACCATCTATACCCATTTAAACATGATTTTGCTTTTGAAAAATGGAGACATTTACTGTAGATCAGCGGTGTCAAACTCAAATCCCTGAAGGGCTTATTTTAGAAAACCACAGATTATCATTATCGTATGTCATATATCTATGTATTTTTATTCATTGTTATTTGTTAGATAATCCCCCATTACACTTTAATCTGGTTCTGGTTACTCTCTGGAATTTTGCAGACGAGTTTGATACCTCTACTCTAGATTATCATTTCTTGGAGAAACTTACTGATATGAAATGTTACCACAATGAGACCAAAAATGGAGCCAGTAAATACTTGAGCTTCTTGACAAGTAGTGAGACATGGAAGCCATGGACAACACCAGTTTACACTACAATGTCATTTGCAAAACACTATCAAGAAGGATGGCAGAAGATTAGAAATAGATATATCCATGTTGGCTAGATATTGCCATTACTGTTATCTCTTCCATCTACCAACTGCCCTAGTTCTGATATCCACAATTAAATAGGGATGTGAAAAATCTGGAAAGTTTTAAAGGGAAGTCACAAAGACTGGAAGAATTAGAATATAAGAAGTATATACAATATTAAAGGGAACTGGATAG